TTTTTCAAAATGTTTTTTCTATTTTGCTGAATATCATTTCTTAGAAAGGCAATTTTTATTGGATGTGTACTTGTGACTGGCACTATACTACTAAAGAATACTTTGACCTTTAAGGATAATCATGTATTTTTCTGCAAAAATATCCGCAATCGCCAAATCAATTTCTAAATAAGGATAACACACACCCAACCCACCAATAAAATTGGATATATTTTTGCGGAAAAATACATGATTTTCCTTTAAGGGATAATCTTATGATTTGTTCTCAGTTTTGATTCTTTTGCTACGACGAACAATTCTTTCTTTATTTTCAATAACTTTTGCACTATAATAAAATTAAATTAATAAATCTTATAAAAAAAAAAAACATAAAAATGCAAAATATAAAACTTTTCAGTACAGCTAATAAGTTAAAATAAAAAAAGGTTGTATATACATATGAATACTCACAATAAATTGCTGATGTAGATTTTTCTTTGGGAATTTCAATTTCAAAATTTGACAATTTTTCTAAAAAGATTTCTGCAAAAAATTATAGAATTATTAAAAAAAAATTTCATATTATTTAATTTAATATTAATTGACACTAACCTATGCAATTATTAGAAAACCTAGTAGATGCCTCTTCTTCACATAAATCATAAGCAACCAAGACAGAATTAGAATGTTTCCCAGAAAGTGAATTTGGATCTTTTGATTCAATTGACACAACTCCTTGACTTTTTAAGTCATAATATCTATAAACAACATTGTTGTGAATTATTTTAGCATAAAAGTGAGTTCCACTTGATGTTGTACTAAATGCCCTTGCTGTTAAATTATATCTAATTGAACCTATTCCATCATTGTTATAATTGAGGTTCAAAGGAAAATTTAAATGCTCAGATGAATTATAACTATCCACATCTCCAGTGACCTCAAATATTAACAAAGTTAGCCATGATATAATAAGCTCTTCATATTGGTGTTTCCTTTTGTCACATAAACTCATATTAGCCCAATAATGTTGACAAGGTTCATCAGGATGAACACAATTTATCAACTTATTTTTCATTGTAAAAAATGCTGACATTTCACCTACTAAATTAGTGTTTACTGTAAAATATGGACCATCAAAATCTCTTGTTCCATTAACTGGAAAAAATGGATTGATGGGTGCTGGTGAAATACGAATATGTCCTTCATCACACTTCCACATCCTTAGCCCAAGTACACAAACATGTGAAATTATATTCAATGATCTTCTCTTCTCCAAAATCACATTATAAAACCATAAAGTCAATGATCCAAATTCGTAATCATCCCATCCTTCATCTATAACATAATGGCGGATCAATGCTCTTGCCTCAGAAAGGGGGTTTTTTTTGTAGCTTTTGGTTGATTATGAATTGTGAAGCTGATATATAGTTTTTTAATTCCTGAATTATCTTCATTAATAATTCCAACATTTGTGGCCCACCATTCTTTGTCTTTGGAAAATTGTTATACAGCAACTCTAATAAAATTGTAATATAACATTAATATCTATTGTGAGGGCATGATTGATATTTTTGGGAGATTATTTCTTTTTCCGATTCAGATTCATCAATCATTTTCTTTTGGGATTTTTTTAACTGAGCTTTAGTTGTATCTGGTGGGCGACAGTCTTTCACACCAGCACCTTTAGTCGATCTTTTGGCATATCTTGGCTTTGTTGTGCCATATTTTTCTGCTACTCTTTTCCTTTCAGGTTCTCTGTGCCTTAAGGAAACACCTTTGCTTAGATCATCATAATCCATTTCTAACGAAATTGCAAACAGAGTAAGTGACTGGACACATAAGAAAATTTAATTATTATTATAATCTGTTGAAACACGAATTAATTATTATCATTATTATATAATCCGTTGAAACGCGAATTTAATTATTATTATATTATTATGTGTACCGTTCATCCGCTGTGGCAAGGTTTGACTATATTGTGGAATTAACTACATACTGTATATGATTGAATACTACTATTAATTATTTTGAATTGATAATATAATTAACAAGAATGTAAAGATGATTTTTTTATTTCATTCTAAATAAATAGAAAAAAAAATTTAGGAATCACGGTAATAATAATACTACTAATACTACTAACAATAATGCACCCAGGATAATGTAAGTATAATATGATAATCAAGGTTTCTCTGATAACGAAATAGTATTACGATCTGTTACGACCTTTAATTATAGTAATCGTAATAGTAATAGGGCTGACAGCATAATATTATTATAAAATAATATTTTATCACCATAGAAAATCATCGTACGTTCGTACAACGAAATTGCACAACACTGACTATAATAATAACGTATATAATACTACTACATAATAACAAGGGATTTAAATAAGCATATATAACATGATAATCAGTTTTTTTCTGATAATGAAATAGTATTACGACCCCAGTTACAACATCTGGTAATCCATTAATTATATAATAGTGTTATCGGCTTAATAATAATATTATTATTATAGGATTTTACAAAGTAATATTTTGCCACCGCAGAAAATCATCGTTCCTGATACATCGTACATTCGTACGTACGTACGTACGTACATATGTAAAATTTCCTCGTACAGGTGTACGACCACAACGAAACTGTACGAACTCAATGGTACGAAGTCAGTCGTACGTACGAAGATTCTTCTCGTACAGAGAAATTGCACAACCCTGAACTAGTATCAATTATAAGTATATATTAATGTTAATATATATATACACACACATATTTACATGGAAATTCTATATTATCCACGTGAAAAGATGAATAAATTCAAAAAAAAAAATTTTTCCTCTTTTAGAAAACGATTCGTCGACCCCTTCACATATATTACTATTTACTTAAAACAGGAATTCGTATTAATACATGCATAAACTTGCATTTATATAACGTAGGACGTAATCTAAAGTTTTGAACATAATTAGTTAAATCTCGTTTTGTTTGTTTATTATTACTATTACTATTGATTTTTTCCGTAATTAGATAAGATTTTTTTTCTAATGACACTTTTGTCTTAACTAAATTATTTTTTGTTTTTTTTTTTGTGAAAAGACAATATTACAGTCTAATTAATCATATTAATCCTTTAATTTGCTATTAATGTTAATATTAAATTATATTTATTATATTACAACATGTGTGTAATTTTAGATTTATATTTAATAAATGTAAATGTCATAAAAATTTTCCTTTCATTCATTATTGTCAAAAAACATCATATTTTATTATAAAAGAAATATATAAATATTTTTTTATCTATATACAACATCATATGATCACCTTTTCCTCATATTTTTTCAAATACATTCGACCTTGATTTTATCTTTTATCTTTTATCACTTTTTCAAGAATGAGATTTTACAAGAATAAATCATATTGGCTTAAAATAAGAGTTTTTCAATTTGGATTGGTCTTAATATGTTTTTCACTAGGTATATATATATATATATATGCAATTTAATTGATATCAAACAATTACTAAACTTGATATTCTTTACTTCCACTCAATAAATACTTCGTCAAATTCAAATTAAATTAGAAATAATCCAATTGACTATGTTCATGTCATTTCTACGTGAATTACTAAAACAAGATGCATCAATATCAATTTATTTTTCACGTAATGAAAAGTGAGTGAAAAGTATATTATCATTGCAATTATAGTCACAATTAATCAAAATTAATTTTATTTTTAGGTATAATGGAGAAATAAAAATATGGTATTATGTGGTAATATTGTTGACATTGGCTGCATTATTTTATTGTTTTATATTTTTTAAGAAAGTTGCCAATAGAGGTCCAAATTTATTATTGATTGATATGTAAGTTGTTTATTTAACCATTTTGTTATTAAAGATGACTTTAGTGACTAGATTATTCAGTAAATTGATATTTAATAAATTTTGATTTTTAGATTTCTTACAATATCATGGATTACATCAGGTAGAAAGATAATACATATAGATGTTTAATCTCTACAATTGTTTTTGATTTGGACTTTATCACAACAACTAATCTACCTTTTTATTTATTTAAAAACAATAATAGGCATAACAAATCTTTATCCGATGTATATGGGAGACAAAAAATTATCATGCAAAGCGATAGGTTATGATGTTTCATTAGTACAACATTTTTACTGGAAATGGTGTAGTACTTATTTTGTGGCAATTGTAATGAGCTGGATAACCACAACATCATTTATAATGTCGTTGTCTTTAAATATAATTTTTCATGTTTCAGAGCAAAAAACTGATAGTCATTGCAATAAACACATAGTGGATAATGATCCAATTGAATTGATTGTAATAAATCAAAGTAATAATAATAACAATGATAATGACAACAATATCAACAATAATACTGTAATCATTGAAAATCAGTGACAACAACCAGATAATATATAGCTTAATAAGTATAATACAGTAGTAAGATTAAATTTTGTAATTATTATTATTTAAAAAAGGCAATGATTATCAACATTAAATAATAAATTGTGCAGTGCTGTGCCATTTATGGCTTCAATAATTTCCACTGGAATATTTCCAACAAATTTCAATTGGCATCTACATTGGAACCAACCACATTGGAACATTCCAATAGCGTTACAATGTTCCAACTGCATACATGGATTGCGCAGCAGAAAAAGTCCATTAAAATCAATAATATTGACATTGATAAATTGTGTGAATTCCGATGGTATACTGGTGTAAATAGCATTTGAATGAATTGTTATTATAATCATCAGTTGTACACGGGACATGTCCACCTAATATCGAGTGGGCACGAACATGTCCCGGACAATGTCCCAAAATGTCTGCGTAACAATTTGTCATGCGGACGTGTCCGCTCATTTATTTAAATGTCCCCTTTGTAAAACATATGTTGAAGAATCAGGAGAAGAAAAAATGGTTTCCAAACAAAAAAGATCGAATAGTTCACATTTAAAGAAATGTCTAATTTAACAAATATGAGGCGAAAATTAGGTGCGACTCAATTAACTCAATTACAATGGTTTAAATGACTTTACACAAATGTTAAAACAAAGATCAAGAAAATTATCAGTTAATTAATCAACCGAGTAATTAAATTAATAATTCAGAACCTTGCTTAGGAGTAGAGTCGGAAAGTTAATATACACTCCTTGGAAAAAAGTATTTGGAGGCCTATTTCTACTAAATATGTAAAAACTCGCATTATAACTATGCATACAATTTTATCAAAATATAGATTAAGGTTTTGATGAATATGCATGTAAATTTTGATATTTTTGAAACGACTAGGAAAATTTGAATATGAATGCAAATTTTGGAATTTCGGCCAGTGTAGACAATTAAAAAAATTTCTAGACGTTCTATATAGTTACTAATTTAATAAAAAAATTAGAAAAAAATACGACATATACCACTCTTGCAGGCCTCCCATCTTCTTCAAAATTCCACTTTAACACATTTATTTTTAATTACTGATTTTACATCCTAAAGGTATTAGACAAGAGTGTTAAGGCAGTTGAATGATCAATTTGTAATCAATTATGTAAATCTTCTTCGGAGCAGTGCTCACTTACAACACTAGGGTGATCCCACATTCATTGTCTTCTCTTAATTGATATCAATTCTTCATCTTGTACTAAAGAAGTTTCTTTGTTTCTGAGCTATCAGACTGTAATAATATAATGATACTTAGCAAGATCTACAAAGGCCAAACTCCTGGTCAGTAAATCTGTAAAAATATACTTTATTATCAGATATCTCATTTTTTTGATCATTATCTGGCAAAATAAGTTCTTGTTGTTAGGTAGATCCGACGTATTACTGGCAGAAATAATTTTTTTTCTTTAATTCAAAATATATTCTTATTATTAAACTTGTATCACATGATTATTGAAAAAATAAGTTTGTTGATTTCTGCCAGGACCTACCTGATAAATTCGTTTTGTCATCTTAACAGTTAGTTCCGACTGTATCCACATAAGATCTTTCTAGAAAGTATATACCATTTTATTAATATATATACATATGATATTTATTTTGATGATGTTATTTTTTTTTTCCTTTAATTTTGAAATGTTCTCGTGATTATTTTATTATTATATTGTTGTCATTTTCTTTATTTTCATTTTATTAACATTTTTATGTACTTATTTCTTTAGTTGGAACTTCTTTT